GCCCCTTGAGACTCACGACCAGTAATTTTATTTTCAAACTGAACAGTTGTACATATAACATCCTCTCTGACGAAAAGTGCTGGTAGTGATTAATAATAAGCACAGGGACAACTTTACCTGTATAAGACCTCATAGAGAACACCATGTCCAACAGTTCTTCTGATGTTACCTGTGTATTCGTTGTCGCGGGAACGTGTTTACCGAGCTGCACCCTGTGGCAGGCCGAACCACTCCCAAAATCTTCCATCACCCGAGCTCACCTGCCTGAAGTCTACGATCTGTTGGAAGTGTCAGATTTGTATAAAAATTAAGCAAATTGTTTATAGAGTTCGTAAATAGGCTGGGAGGTCGCGTGATGAGTGCTAGGACTCTGTCCAGTCCCTCGATTTTGTCACCACGGTAATGGACCTTTGGTTTCCAGACGGGCAGTTTCTTGACTAGAACGAGTACCGGCCCCTTAAGAAAACCCGTGCTTCGTGTTGGTCGTTGTGTTCTCTAAACTGGAGAGGCGAGGGAGGGGGCTGTCGTGGAGCATTTGCCGGAAAGGTCTGAGGACGGTCAGTCTGTACGGAGTCCTACATTCGGATCGGAACCTCTCGAACGTAAGTCAGTCTTCGCCCTCATCTGAGGACGGAAACAGATTGTGTTTTCTAGTCTTTAGAACACCGGACGATGAACAAAGCCCGAAAACACAGTAACTCTTTAAGTGTAAGATTTGAGGCTTTCACGGCGGTGACTATGAAGAAAGCAGTCTTCTGGGATTTGGCACCGTGTATATGTGGTGTTAACCGACGTTTCGGAGGAACGTATCGCCCCCATCTTCAGGGTAGAAGAAAAAGTATAAGAATTCTGCAAGCGACAACACCGTGAGAAACGGTAAAGCAGACCACATATACACGGTGCCAAATCCCAGAAGACTGCTTTCTTCAACTTTTTAAGTGTTACGCATGCTCGTCTGAACCCTTTAGAACCTACTTGTAAGTGAATCTTTGTAGGAATTACAGATTTGTATTCACTCGACTCTCGTAAACCGGAACATGACCAGTAGGTGCGCTTGTCCCTGCGGCCCTGGGCTTTCGAGTGCGCACCAACTCACCAGGGTTCCTATCAATATTCTTTCGGGCGACGTGGTATCCTTGCGTCCTACGTCGAAGCTACTCGCTAAGGAGATAAATGGCAAAACTGTAGTCTTGTCTTTGGAGAGTCCTTGGTTCAAATCTTGGGAGGAACGCAGGTTATCCTGACTGAGGTCACTCATTGTCTTCGTCGCTCTCGGGAGAGTACCCCGATTTCTGACCGCTTCCTTCAGAATCCTTCCTCATTCATGATTCACCCGTCATCCCATCATTCCACGCTCTCTGCTCTGACACCACCGTAAAATGGACCACGAAGCGATATATTTGGTTCTGATAAGTCGGTTTATCCTAACCGTTTAATTATTTTAAACGTTAAATCGGTTTTATTCGAAATGGAAGTTCATAATGAAAGTATGTAGGACGAAGTTTTATATAATTTATATCCAAATTGTGGAAAGATTTTTTTTAAGCTTCTGTTTTCCTAATGAGTCAGATGGAATATTGTTGCAGCCGTTCGCTTCAAAATGTCTACCGTCATTGGCAGATTGATGTTTCTGTCAAAGTGATTGATGAAGTTCTGTCATACTTAAATTTCACAAACATTCCTAACATGGTTTTCACGAGTTGAACATTACTGCATACAAAATGATCTAGAAACCAGTAATGCTTAAATTTTTCTGGTGTAAAGACAGGTAGAAGGTAAAGCTATCCCCGTAACCAGGTCGTCTAGGCCATATGGTTGTGAGACACCGAGGCTCCCACGTTTACTCGAGAATTGACTCAAAGATGACGGTGAGGTCAGTCTATACGCCGGCCGCCCTTTACCCCACAGGGAGATTCTTGGTACTCATTTCTGTTAGAGGCTGAGTCGACCACAGGAGCATAGTGAGGCTGGAAGAATTAGGCCAATTGAAAAATCCAATGACCTTATCCTGAGTGGAACCCGCAACCTTCCGTCTTGTAGCCTACTACGATACTGCGTGCCCCCTGGCGTGAAGACAAGAGCGAAATCACAGGTGACTGCACTTCTTGAAGTAGAAATGTTTAGTTTCGCGAATTTTGATCAATAAACCAACTTTTGTGTACGCTAACAACATGTTAATTTTGTTTGTTGATTGTTATCTATAACTATCCCTTCCGTCGAGCAGGCTGGCATAGCGGTAACTCTCTAGAGTTGTATTCGGGTCGTGCTTGCTTCGAATCTCGGTCGCAGCACTGGCTATTCTAAGGCCTTTTGTGGTTTTCCTCAGTACCGCAGGCAAATGCCGGGGTTAGTACCTCGAATTAGGCCAAGACCGCGCCCAGTTCATCACTGATCTCTCCTACCATCGGTTCGACGCTGTGGCGTCTGGATGCTGAGAGGGTCGTATAATAAGCCAGAAACAAATCCCCGTTCTTGTCTGAGGTCTGAACGGAAATGATGAAATTGGTTACTTATTTTACCGCACATGTTCAGTTGGAACTACGCGTGTTACGTTAACTTAACTACATGTCTTCAATAAAGTCCATACTTTTTTTAATCAATAACAAGACATTGTGACCTCTTAACGTGAAAAATCGCTGAATTATTCATAGTTAAATTCAGATTTTGAAAGCAATAGGATGTGACGTCACACAAATATCCTGTTATTTACTGCCGTAGATCCTCATGGAAGTGACTGTTGGAAATACCGAAACAGATTGCTTTCTGCATTCATATACAGTTGCGTTACTACGGAGGAGCGCTGGAGGATCGAGTACTCATGTACTTTAAATCGTATGTGGTCTGTCAACAATCATTATCCAGGGAAGACGCAAGGATTTTATGTTACGGACATGAAACAGGGTCAGAAGTGGACATCTGACGGGCATCAGAGGAACCAAACCGTGAACAGCTTTCATTTCTACTGAACTAAAATTCTTGTAATATAAAGCATAACTTCTTTATTGTGTAACCGTTTAAGTGTCATGTTAATGAAGAAGTCCCCAGCTTAAACACTGTCTTGTACTTCTCGCCAAACATAATTGAAATGATTAAGACTAGGAGGATGAAGTGGGTAAGGGCATGTAGCACGAATGGGGGAGAAGAATGCATATAGGATATTGGTGGAAAAGCCAGAAGGAAAGAGACCACTAGAAAGACCATGACGTAGGTGGATGGACAATATTAAAATGGATTTTAGTGAGGTAGGATGGCATGATGTGGACTGGATCGATCTGGCTCAGGATAGGGACCAGTGGAGGGCTCTTGTGAACACGGTAATGAACCTTCGGGTCCTATAAAATGCTGGGAAGTTCCTGAGTAGCTGCACAACTGGCGGCTTCTCAAGCAGGGCTCAGCTACATTGAGTTAGTTAGTTTTAGTTATGTATGATAATGTGCTGCCTGGTCAGAGCTATTGCCTGTCTCAAGACGGCAGTGGATTAATATGGAGCAATGGTTGAATGATGCGTAACAGGAGAAATCCGAAGAAGTTCGGAAAGAAATCCTGCTTCAGTGCCTTTCATCCACGAATACCACCAAGGACTGAAACCGGATCACCGCAGTAAGGAGCCAGCCTCTAAACCGAAGCTTTATTGAGCACGGCGGGTCCAGTTACATTCTGAATTTTATGCCCAAATAGTCAAGTTCCTTCTATCAGAATATTTCAGTTTCATGTCACAGGTGAAGATTGTCAGAAGACTCTCCGTATGCACGCTTCCTTTATCCACGGCGACAGTAGAAGCTTTCGGGGCTAGTCATTGAGTTACAGGCGCAGATTTCCTGACCCACCCCACCATTTTGACTGAGTTGTGTCGATTCCTACCTTTTCTCCACCGTGTTTTCGCGGTAGTATAGTTGGTTGAAGCACTACGCCACAAACCGGAAGGTCACGGGTTTGATTCCTGGTGAGGTCATTGGATTTTTCAATTGACCTATTCCTTCCAGCCGCTCTGTCCCCCTGTGGTCGACTCGGCCTCTAACAGAAATGAGTACCAGGAATCTTCCCGGTGTTAAAGGGCGACCGTCGCGTAAGGCTGACAACCTTACCGCCATCTGTTAGCCGATTGTCTAGAAAATGTGGGAGCCTCGACGTCTCACAAACATATGGGCCTCCACGGCCTGTTATAGCTTTACTGCAGTGTGCTTAGTGTGCGTTCTGATATACGCGTGTAACAGAGGTCGTCTCAGGAGTTATGACGCTTTATCGTCTGAGAGTGAGTTACCGACATTTCGGAGGACCGTAACTGCCCCATCTTCAGAGTGTATGGTTCATCCGAAACGGCAGTAACTGCCATGAGACCGTCATGTCACGTGTGTTCTGCCAGCAGACGCAGAATAAAGAATGCGACGCAGTTGCCTGTACGCAGCGACGGTGATGCGATATGCCCCTCTGCCCAGACACCGCGGTCAGTGATTAGATTGAGCAACTCCATAGAGCCGAGTCGCCCTTGATAAAGCAACAGTCTTTCTTTATCTTTAGCAACGTTTTGTTAACCCGAAGTTTCATTATCATGTTGACAAGAGCTCTCCACTGGTCTGTATCCTGAGCCAGAATAATCCAATCCGTACCACCCCCATCCTATTTCTCTAAGATCCATTTTAATATTATCCTACCTGCATCTGGGTCTTCCTAGTGGTCTCTTTCCTTTTGGCTTTCCCACCAAAATCCTACATTTATTTCATTTCTAGGCAACGCGTGCTGCGTGTCATACCCATCTCACCCTCTTTGATATAATAATTCTAATCATATTTGACGAAGTGCGTAAGTTACTAAGCTTATGCGGCTTTCTCCAACCTCCTGCAACTTCATCTCTCTTCGGTCCAAATATTCTCCTCAACACCCTCAATCTATGTTCCTCCCTTAATGATAGAGACCAAGTTTCACACCCATACAAAACTGCAGGTAGAAGTACCCAAATTTACTGCAATACCGATATGTATTTTGGTACGTTTGTGTTCCAGGTTTCAGGAGGCAGTTTAATATGATGTGGAGATAGTTACGAGGATGGAGAATATCTGGACCATCACCCTGGCAACTACGAGGACGTCTGCCACCATCAACATGATATGGAAGAACAGGACGTCTTTATACCGGTATGTCTTCCATCAAGTCCCTTGCCACGCCGTGCATGATCAGCGCATTTATTGCACTAAATGAACTATGGAAAGCTACGTAGTAAAGCAAGACTCAGTTCTGTTATAATTCTTAGTTAGTTCCCAGATATACACGGTGTGCCCAGGGTCCGTTAGGATTCATTTTTTTAAATTTTGCCCTGCAATGCCATCTGTTGGCGAGTTGTGGCGATAAGAAACTGAAGTGAAACGAAGCATTGCACGGATGCTCCAAACTGGAAGCAACAGGAGAGAGAGCGAGCGAGAGAGAGAGAGAGATTATTACCATAGGGAGCTTGGATAGCTCAGTTATAGCGACGGGTATGTGCTGGACGGCCGGGTTCGATTCCCGGCAGTGCAAGATTTTTCTTTTCTCTATAGCGTCCAGACCGGCTCTGGGACCCACCCTCCCTCCTAGTCAGCGGGCTCTTTGCTTGGAGGTAAAGCGGCAGGGGCGTGAAGCTCACCATTCACCCGCATTCAGTGCCAAGATCAAGACTAGTGGGGCTGTACCTCCACTCCCTTGTATGTCTTCATGGCATTCATTCGTTCATTAACGTACCTGTTGCGCCTGCTTGGAGCATTGGCATCCGTGATACGCTTCGTTGCACTTCAGTTTCTTAATCTAAAGGCGCGTCCACATTACTCGTGCTCGTGCTCGTCGGGAGGCTCGTCTGGCTTTCACTTGTGCTCGTAAATCTTCGTCCACACTACTTCAGTTGCTCACCAGGCTTTGGCGCGTGAGGATCCACATATTTACTCGTAGTGTGTATAGGCTGTAGTCGTATTTTAATTTATTGGCTTGTCTCGTGACTTGTCATATCGTCCACATTACTCGCGAGCATAGCGAGTCACACGAGCACGAGTAATGTGGACACGCCTTAAGAGAGTCGGTAGGACTCCGTGGACGAGTATCATCCCGTCGCAAAGCCGCTGCCTACACACAGGACAACACAAACACGAATAAACGTACACAAACATCCATGCCTCAAGTGGGATTCGAACCTACGACCACAGTGCCCGAGCGGGCGAAGACAGTTCATGCCTTAGATAGCGTGGTCACCGTGATGGGGTTTCATGGCATCGTGCTAAACTAATTAAGCACAAGGACGCCACCTTTACCACGCCTAGCCCTTATTGTTACTAATTTCGGGGGATCCTTAGAGGGAGTCGTCATGTTCCACCACTGGGATCGTTTGGAAGTGGCAGCGAAGATTAACCAAACGAACACCACACATTAATTCAATTTATTGTTCACTGTTTATTTGTTAAAAAAATTAGCTCTGAATGACCTCCATTATAATTTAAACGTTGTTGTAACGAGATACAGCAGTTCGCCGAACATTTCCCTGCGAGTCTCCTTTCTGCATACATCCACGAATGTAACCATACACGTATAACCTCTCTCATTCAGTTTCCCTTTCTACAGCAGTGGATTTTAAAACAGCCGATCCAATTGGCGGGTCCTGTAGGTAAGTAAAATTGTTCCTGTGTTTAACTAATTAAGCACTACGCCATGAAGACGTATGGGGGGAGTGGCTCTGTAGATCCACGTATTCTTGACCTGGGCAATAGATGGAGGTAATTGGGCAGCTTCACGCCTCGGCTGCTTTACCTCCCGGGAAATTGCGCCCCCCATGTACCATTTGGGTAGGAGGCTCGGTGGGCCCCAGAACCGGTCTGGGCGGCTTGGAGATGAGAAAATCTTGCCCCTACCGGGACTCGAAATCCGACCCCTTGGTTGTCCAGCTCGTAGCCAGTCGCTATACTGACTGAGCTATCCCGGCTACTGGAGTATCGTTAATGTATATTCTTACTTCCGATACCTCGCATGTCACGAAGTCGAGCCACGATTGGGTTGCGCCCCACCTGCCATGTGGCAGTGGTCTGGCGAACTTAAGCTAGAACCTGACAGTTGCAGACACTCGCACGTGCCGCGAGCACCACGTGAGCCCTCTCCGTGCACCATAACCGAGGCCAGTCGACAAATTGTCCCCCCTGGGCGACGCACCTCACAGTAGGTGAACAGCAAAAGATCGTAATCATTCATTTGATTGCTACTGTTCGTACTTGGGGGCACGCGGGTTCTGTTCCCGTCGAGGTCATTAAATTTTTCAATTGACCTAATCCTTCCAGCCGCACTGTGGCCCAGGTGTCGACTCAGCCTGGAACAGAAATGAGTACCAGGAATCTTCCTGGGGGATAAACGGCGGCCTGCCGATGTGTAAGGCCGACAACCTCACCACCATCTGTGAGCCGATTGTCCAGAAAATGTGTGTCTCGACATGTCTCTACCCTATGGCCCTCACTGCCTGTTACAGGATAGCTTTGTCTTTTACCTTACCTTACTGTTGATGCTTTTACGAAACTTTGCCTCTTACACAAAGAGAAAAATGTGAGTTCAAGTTGAAACCAAAGTTGGAAACACACCGAACACGTTCGTGTTGTTGTAATGCTCTTGACTCTTGTTTGGGAGGTGATTGGTTCGAATCTTTGTCGGGGCAGCAACTATTCTGATTGATACTTTTCATGGTTTTGCTCGCCCCCTCCAGGCAAATGTCGGGGTAGTAACTGCATTAAGCCACAACCGTTTCCTTTCAAATCCTTTCCATGTCGTCATTCCTCAGTCAACAGAGCCGTACCACAGCTCAAGCGGATAGACGCCGGCCAACCACCACGACGGCTCTAGTCCGAACCCAGCATAAGTGCTATGGGATTTTTGGTGGATAAAGTGGCACTGGTGTAGGATCTCTCCGAGTTCTGAGGTTTCGTATGGCAGTCGTCGTTTCAAAAACTTTTCCACATCGATTAATCATCCAGTCATGCGACATGTGTAGTGTCGGTACGTCAGTGTCGTTACATAACCAATAGGAAAAGGTTGCACAGAAGGGATGAGTAGCAGAGTACGTATAGTTGCTAAATAAATAAGGCAGTGCTGGGCTAGACACCTAGAACCATTGGAAAACTCATGTTGCGTGCCCAAAACCTTTCAGAACTCGAGTTCAGAACAAATATGTTACCCCTTTCGTAATTAAGCACCACCCCAAGAAGACGTATAGGGAATCGGAGATATGGCTCCACGCATACTTACCGTTACAGTTGATCGAGTGGAGTAGTCAGTCTCTCTCTCTTTCTGTCAGCCTGAACGTCGTGGAGAGAACCTCCAATACATATGAGAACTTGTCTTCACGTTGCAAGGTTAAAGGTAAAGTTGTCTGTGTGCTTAATCAATTAAGCACCACGCCTTGAAGACGTATTGAGGAGTGGTGGTATAGCTCCACCATTCCTGACCTAGATGAAGGTGAGTTGTCAGCTTCACGCCTCTGCCGCTTTAACTTCCGGGAAAGAGCCCCTGGTACCCATTGGTTAGAGGGCTGGGTAGGTCCCAGAGCCGGTCTGAACGTTGTGGAGTAGAGAAAAATCTCTTGCCCCTCCCGGGAATCGAATCCCGGCCGAACAGCCCGTAACCTTTCGTGGCAAGAAAAAGAATCTTGCCCCTCCCTGGAATGTGACCCACAGTCAGACGCTCTGCTGTTGTGATATATCACGGCTTCGCGATTTCGGAAAAATGCACTAACCCGGAGTCACGTAACTTTGGCATGTCCAGTAGTAGTAGTCGCCCTGTACCGTGGAACTTCATAATGTTACGGCTCTGCAACCGGGATAGCGACGGGACGGCCCGGGTTCGATTCCCATCATGCAAGATTGTTTCTATTCTCCCAGTCTCCTATGCATTGGGTACTGAGGGCTCATTCCCCGGGGGTACAGTGGCCAGGGCTTGAAGCTGACTACTCTTATCCATCTAGTGCCGAGGTCAAGAATGGTGGAGCTACACCTGCACTCCCCCATGTGATAAATTTACCCTTTTTAAGGCTCCTGTGTGTTATTTTTCTTCCGTGGGTTCCAAACGCATATGTGTAACACGGACCATGTGTACGTTGCTCACACGTTCCTATGTCTACCTCATTTCAGAGCAGTTGTGGGGCAAATAAGACAACAGCAGCACAAAACAACGCGGACCGTTGTTGGACCAAGCAGAGGCGTGCCGAGGTTAGCGGAGAAAGACGACACCAATTGTGGAAGAGAAAAGCTAGAAATGGATGTTGTCAGAATTCGACCCTTAATGAAGATACTAAGGCAAGTGTCTGCACACTGTCTCTGTTCCTACACCTACAGTAATCAGCTAATATATGAAGTAGTTTGCTCAAGGTCGTGTGTGTTTCTTTCTGGAGTTTAATCGGCCTAGAAAGTGGATCGAAACCTCGATATAACAGTTGCATTTAATATGGAGCGTTTCACATAATACAGGCATTCCTTGGTTCGGTTCCAGATCACCGCAGTGAAGCGAGTCACACGAATTTGCTGGTTTCCCAGTGCATATAAAAGTTATGTTCACACTTTACTGCAGTCCATTAAGCGTGCAAGAGCATTATTTATTGAAACAATGTGCATGCTTTAATTAAAAATACTTTATTTCTAAAAGAATGCTAACCATCATCTGAGCTTTCAGCGAGTCAAAAACGTTTTGCTGATGGAAGGTCTTGCCTCGATGTTGAACGCTGCTGACTGATCAGGGCGGTGGTTGCTGAAGGTCCGGGTGGTTGTGGCAGTTTCTTAAAGTAAGACGACAATGAGGTTTGCCCAGTCGATTGACTCTCCCCTTCACGAAAGATTTCTCTGTAGCATTAATGCTGTTTGACGGCATTTTACCCATGATAGAACTTCTTTCAGAATTGGAGTCAGTCCTCTCGAACCCAGCTGCTGCCTTATCAACTAAGCTGACAATATTCTAACTCCTTTGTTGTCATTTCAACCATGTTCTTGCCATTATTCTGCAACTCCCAGTTCCGAAGACTCGACTCAGTTCAATTCCTCTGCTCCCAAACTCATATCCCGGCAGACTGGCATCTCGAAACTCGGGTCTTCACTGAACGGCCTCAACTGAACTCTTCTTTATAACCACTTTGCACGGACCACGCAGAAAGCAGCCTCTATTATTGGGAAGGCGTGCTTACAGCACAGCCAAGTTACTCGATTGTTGCTTGTTTATTCGTTGCCGGCCGAATGTGTTTACCGAGTCGTTGCCCAACAATGAACTATTCCGGTGTTCAGACGTCATGTCACAGCATCCTAAGAGGCGTTTCAAAACACCGTCACTGCAAATATGGACACCAGTAACGCAACATCAGAAGTTAACGGGCCTCAGTTTGCTAACTTCGAATCTTGAAGTTGCTGCCGGGAAAATCTGCAAATGTCCCATGGTCTGATGACTGAGGTTCGCACGTTGTAAACATTCCTCAGATTATGATCGAGACGGTGGATGGATGGTGAGAGGCTTGGGCTATCAGAACTGGCGAAAATGGCGATTTTGCTAGAGGACAGATGATTGGCTTACCACTGACAGCAGACTCTAAATAACGCTTTCGCTTTTGTAAAGCCCACCGAACAAATTGTGCATAACTGTAACGCTCTGGTTGTATTCGAGAGGTTCTCGCTTCGAATCTCGGACCGGACTCCGGCTAGGGTTTTTCGTGGGTTTCCTCAGCCCGTCCAGTCAAATTTCTGCATTGTATCCAGATTAGTCAGTTCAGTATTCATTCATCCTGCCATTTGACACGGGGACGCGCGGTTGAGGCACTATGCTACAAGCCGGCAGGTCGCGGGTTTCATTCCCGATGAGGTCACTGCATTTGTCAACTAACCTAACCCTTCCAGCCGCAGTATGGCCCTAGGGTAGACTCAGCCTGTAACAGAAATGAGTACCAGGGATTGTCCTGACGATAAAGGGCGGGCGGCTGGCTCGTAAGGCTGACAACCTCGCCACCAAATATGAGCCAATTGTCTAGAGAAACTGTGGGAACCTCGACGTCTCACAACCCTGTGGGCCCCTGCGGCCTGTTACAGCGTTTTACCATTTGACACTCTGTAGTCTGCGATGCCAGTAAAAGCAGAAATTGACCCTGTGCTTAACTAATTAGGCACTACGTCATGGAGACGTGTGGGGGAGTGGATGTATAGACCCACGTTTTCTTGACCTCGGCACTAGCTGGAGGTGAGTGGTAATGTCGTTAAAATGTACGACACACAGAAAAATTCTAAACCCTGTTGACATTTCAAGGACAAGCCGCTAAGCTTAACATATATTAAGAAATCAATTAGTGTGTATGTGCAGATTGCTTTGACCGTAAAGAAAGTTTCTTGAAAAATACTTAACGTTATTGAACGAGAACGTAATTCATTTCAGTACCAAATGTGCAGATATTCTGATCTGCTAATTTGTAATCCTACAGACGCATTTAAACATATTCCAGTTGCTGTTTAATGCTGACATCATCTGCTCTATTTGTAACGGCTGTCACGTCTGCCAACTTCTGTAACAGCTTTATACCTGACAGAACAGCAAAGGTTTTCTGTCGTCTTATGGTCCTATTCGTAACTACAAGTAACCCAGCTACGCTCTGCTACGCACTCATAACTAACTTCATAGGCCGCGCCATAGCTCAAGCGGTTAGTCGCTGGCTTCCCGATCTCGGGTCTGGTCAAGTGGGATTTGTAGTGGACAAAGTGGCGCTGGGGCAGGTTTTCTCCGAGTACTTCGGTTTCCCCTGCCAATCTTCATTCCACCAACTGCTCCACAATCACCCTCACCTATCATCTGGGGCTGGTACAATAGGCCAGAAGTGGCCACAGTACAAGGGACTTAGTCCCACCCCACTAGCATGCCATGAAGACGTACGGGGGAGTGGAGGTATAACTCCACCATTCTCCACCTCGGTACTAGACGGATGTGAATGGTCAGCTTCGCTCCCTGAGGATGGAGCCTACTGAGCCCATTGGATAGTGGGTTCTAGAGCCGGCCTGGACGCTTTGGATAAGAGAAAAATCTTTCACCTGTTCGAGAATCTAACCCCGGCTCCCCAGCCTGTATCCAGTTCCTATACCGACTGAGCTAACATATCATTCGGAGAAAGTTTGAATATTTGAGGACGATAGTAATTCATCAGGCTAGAGTTAAAATCTGTTGAATTTTCCCCCGAAGCCGTCACTATATTGGTCGAAACATTCTCGATGTTTTGTAGAAGCCGAAGGTTCATTATCGTGTTCACAAGAGCGTTCCATTGAAGCCTACTCGAAGTCAGTTCAGTGCAGTCCATGCACTCACTTTCAGTTCCTGTACTCTCCGTTTCAGTAATATCCTCCCCTGTACACCAGAGTAGCAGGTTTCGGGTTTTCTCGAGTTGTTAAATCATGTCTTAAACATCTTTGAGGTTGTCACCATCAGACAATGACGTAAATCATTACGTCATCATTATGCTTGCAAGATGGATGGCACCACAGTATTCATTCGGCAGATCCCTTCTGTAAGCTTGTCTACTCAAGGTGTGACGTATTGTCAGAAGTGTTTTAGACGAGGTTTCTTAGCACTATGCCACAAGCCGGAAGGTCGCGGGTTCGATTCCTCGATGAGGTAATTGGATTTTTCAATTGACCTAATTCTTCCAGCATCACTATGGCCATGGGGGCCACTCAGCCTCTAACAGAAAAGAGTACCAGAAATCTTCCTGGGGGTAGAGCGCGGCCAGGAGGCGTGTAAGGCTGACAACCTCACCGCCATCTGTGAGCCCATAGTCTAAAAAACGTGAAGAGTCTCGACGTCTCAAGGCCCTATGGGCTTCCACGCCCTGTTACAGTGATAGCTTGGCGCGCAATCCTGACACCCTCACCGCCATCTTTGGGTGGATTGTCTAGAAAACGTGAGAGCCTCGGCGTCTCACAACCCTAGGGGCTTCCACGGCCAGGGAGGACCGGGTTTTCTGTGAGATATTTCGAAATCGGTGGGATCATGTGTAACTAGGGCCGTGTGATGTGAACAGAACGTGGTGGCAGGGCAGGCAGGGACTGAAAGAAAGAGTCGAGCTGGTGGTAAGCAGACCTGCAATGCGTGAGAATACGCGATCGCTTCATTATTGATCTCTGTCTCTCTCTCCTCGGTCCGGGAGCGTCCGACTTGTGTCGCTTGCTGGTACAGCAGCAACGCAACGGAGTGGCTGGCGCGGCCCCATCTGTTAGGCTTCAGTGGTTAGGGCAGAAAGAGGTAAAGTTGTCCCTATGCGTGACTAACTAAGCAGTAAAGCACTACACCATAAAGGCGTACGCGGGAGTGGATGTATAGATCCTCATTTCCTTGACCTCGACACTAGCTGGAGGTGAGTGGTCAGCTTTACCCCGCAGAAAGAGCCCCGGTACCTATTGGATAGGAGGCTGGGTGGGCCCCAGGTTCTATCTGGAAGAGGTGGAAGAGAGAAAATTCTTGACCCTATCGGGACTCTTAACTCCTACCCCTAGGTCCTCCACCCACTAGCCAGTCGCCGACTACGGCATGTGTTCTGAAATGATCATACAAGAGTGATAAAAGATTTCTTGAAGTTATCCAGAAAGTAAAGAAAAGTGTGAAGACCAGGATTGAGATGGTTGGAAGATGTAGAGAATGAGTTACGAGAGCTTAAAGGGAAGAGGTGGAGACAAGAGACTAAATAATAAAGAGAAATGGACATATGTCATAGCGGAGGCTTAGGTTTTTAGAGATCTTTAGAGGGGAAACAGTGGGAATGTTGAAAGTTTTCAGTTGCCCAGATAGGAAAATTATAAATAAAGTTATCGAAAAGTTGCAGGCAGATCTGAACGTCCCCAACAATTCTTCGTTGCTGCAGGAATGTCTTTACCGAGCCACTGCCTAGCGACGATACGTATGGGTGTACATAGTTCCACGGACTCTGCTTTGATACGACACGGAGCGTATAGAAAACGACTCCTTCGACAATTCTTCTGTTGTTGCTTGTATTTATTGCCGCGGGAACGTGTCTACCGATAGCAACTATAGGGGGATACACGTGCGGACACAGACTGATGGGAGTGATGTATGAAGTGCGCCATTGAGATGGGCTCAGGTGCCATACATACAGAGTCTCAGAAAAACTGGTTCAGGCGTTTGTAAGTTAATAGGGGAATACAGAGGCAGCCTACTTTCTTTTTTCAAAATAATGAATGTAGGCTAATAATAGGACAGTTAGTGAAAAATAAATTGGGAAAGATTGTGGAGGGAGGCGGTCGTGGCTTGAATTAAGGTACTATCCTGG